AGACTCGGATCGATAAGGAGTATCGATAAAGGTATCGATATCAATAAATATTAACGATCCCCATCCCTATTCCCGACTGTTATGGGTGCCATCATTTTTGTATGCATAATTCCCGTTTTGAGAGCTGTAGTATCGCCAATAATAGGCAAGAAACCATGCTAGCGTGATGTGTAAATCGTCGTAAGGAACCAAGCCAGGCATGATTAACTGATCCAAGCTCAGTCCGAACTAGGCACAGAGCAGTTTCAGAGGGCTAATGTAAGGGGGGCAACAGTGAGACTAAATTGAGTGCCTCTGCGGTTTGAAAATAGCACTTTGTTAATTTGCGATTATATTGCAAATACAATTTATTCCCCAGCCCTAATCTGGGCTACCGGCAATTTAAAGTTCTACGATTAGCAAGTCACCAAAGTCATACCTCATCTAAATGTAAAGGAACATAAAAAGCAGAGCTTTATAAATGCCACACTACATCTGAATGAAGCCATGCCTTTTTTCTTTTTTAACTTCAAAGGAAATAAAAAATGTATTCGAATAAAGAGTCAGACAGGGAGCAAATCTTTTGAACAAATTGTTTTAATAAACTATAGGTAAACTAAAGGTATTCTGTTCATTCAAAAGAACTTCTGCTCCCATTACTACACTGATAATGGTTGCATATCTCTGCATGTAAAGCATGTTTCATTTCGGAGGCTAAACTTTAATGATTGCACAAACTATTAGTTTGAAAAAACATGCAAAACATAGTACACACCATATTTTAGTGGAGTGGGACACATGATACTAGCAGCTGCTGCCCAATGCTAGCTACTCCTCCTGATTTTTTGGCAGTTAGCAACTAGATTTGAGAATAACTACTGCCACTCTACCCTTCAGCCCTGGCTGCATTTGAGACAGGTTTTTCCTTTTTTGCATTTCTATATTTTTGGTCTTATCCGAGAGACCTTCGAAGACCCTAGGAGAACTTAACAGCTCCTGGCAAAGCCAACAGAAAGACTTTTAGTGACTAAGACTTTTTTAAATCACATCTTTTTTAGCAATACCATTAAAACCTTTGGTGCCACTCTAAAGCCCAGGTTGGCCCATTATTTTTGACCTATCGCTCCAACATGCTTCGGTTTGCAGCAAGGTGCAAAACACCAGGGTGAATCAAAATTACTCAAAAGTAATTTAGACTTATTGCCATTCTTTTTTTTCTTTTTTTTCAAATAGCTAATGACAGTTTTTGCAACCCAGAGTTTCACAAAAGGCTATTCCACTTTAATTAGACTATTTAAACATGTTTTTTACTCCTCAGGTTTGTCTGACGATCTGCAACACTTCAGTGAACAAATCAGCAAAACAAAAAGAAATCTCTAAGAGGGCAGTTACTTTTTTCCAATAAAACCATTTTGATCATAATCATACAACTCGTTTAAACCCCTAGGTTTCAACAATTTGCACAGCTTCATGCAAACCACTCTACAGCTTTAAACACATCAATTTGGCTCAAGAAACACTGGTTCAAATTTCCTATTGTGATAGATTTAAAAACAGAAAGGCACAAACAATGTTATTGCCTTTCTAATTCTGGCTTGTTTCTGATAAGTTCTCTTTTTTGGTAATCTTGATATCCAGAAATACTTAATCAGTACAGGGCAGAGTAAGCACTCATTACAACTGCAAGCTGAGCATTAAAAAACATTAAAAGGTAACAATAAATTAATACACATTTAGTAAAATTCTCAACCTGCATTTCCTGCAAATCCTAATTTTGATTATTTAATTGATAGAAAGCAAGTGTGTGTGCAAGAGGGGTAGGAAGGCATCACAAGGGCAAGACTCAGTTCAAGCATATAAATATCAAAGAATCATTATTACAATTAATGTTAATGTAACAGCAAATCATTTACCTAGCCATTTCTCAATGAAATAATCTGTTAAATACTAAAGGAAGTTCCCAATAACAGTTATCTATAAAATAAAGGCCTTTTAGTACACTGGGAAACTTGCCCTATTGTTAAATAACACTCGATTCACTCATGTTCCAGTCAATGCAGTATTTTTTTTCTAGTGAGTGAAACGCATTTCAATGGTTTTCTGCTGTTGCCCTTTATTTCTACAGATATAGTGTTGTAAATAAAAAGTGTTCTTATTTCTCGCCTCA